AGTTAGAAAGGAATGGCTGCAATCCCTTGTGTTGGGAAAAGTAATTGCATTGAAAAAAATGGGGGGACATATCTTACTTATGGAGAATTTCCTAGCTATGGATGGACTGAGGTCTGTGATCTGTGATCACCCAAAAAATCCTGAATCCAGCTGTCGTGCCAACCTTCACACACACACACACACACATCACGTCACTCACACACTTCATTAAAACATTGACACATCCACTCACAAACACATCTTATACACACAATACACAAATACTTAATCATATACACATCACCCATACACATCACTTACACACAATACATGCACACACATACAGTATCACTCATACACATCACCCACACTCATCAAACACACATCTCTCAGTCACACACAATATTCACACACATCACTCATAAATACACACACTTCACAGATATCTCTAATCACACCAAAATGGTGGAACAGGACATCTATGATATAAAATGCCCAGAAGACGATGCACTCCAAATAGGACACAGGTGCATTACTTCACCCAGGCAATGTAAGTCAAGTCCTGAACAAGAAATGGGGTACTGTCCTGCAACAAAGTGAAAAAAGACTGCAACAACTTCAATAACATGGGCCACACGTGAGTACGAACATAAGAACTTTTCCAAGTAATTGTGCAGAACTATGAACTCACTAGGACTGAGCTAAATATGAACTGTTGAAAGATAACACCAGAAAAAGATACAATATATAAAAGACAATGTATGGGTTCCTTGTTATTCGGATGCACATTCTGACTGCACACGTACACAGATTGTCATCATGATTATTAGTAGAGGTATTCTGCTTAGCAAAGATGAAGATGTTGAAGGGATTTCATGGATGTTTGAAAACCAGGTGTGGTAATAACGTGAACGCTGAATGGGTTTGTTTTCGAAGACATTACAGTGTCTGACGTGGTTAGATAGGTTTGTGATTGGAGTAGCAGTGAAAAAAGTGTAATAAAATGCACAGGATTCATTCAGTGCTTGTAAGAAGCTCGTCATCGGAGCAGGCGTTTCCTGGTCTGCAGGTCAAGCAAGCCCTTTCAGCACTCTGGACTTTTTGAATCCAGTGATCCGAGTTCAAATCTCAGTGGAACTTTTCCGTCCATGGTGCCGTTTTGAATTGAAAGCAACACCGAGAAAACTGTACACATTTCACACTCAGAACGCAATTGCTTTAATGCTCAAAGGAAAAATGA